CCTATTACACAATGCCTGTATGCTGAAAGTTCCTACTGCAATCCTACAGTAATGAAGATCGATAGGTGATTCGCTCTATACTGTAAATCTAAGCTAAAGCCTCCTCTACTGAATGGTGCTTGAAGCTAAGGAAACGACTCGGTGGGAAGAGAGTTACTGACGATCGAAAATGTGTAAATTTTCAAGCGAGTCGCACAGCCGTCCCGCTGTATTTCGAGAAACAAAACTTATGCCGCACTATAATCCTAAGCAATATGCAGCATTGTATAGAGTCCGTTGGTCGCGAGATACTTCGATTTGTTTGGAGTGGTCGATTTTAGGAAAAAATCCCCGCGCTTTGTATGCGTTAAATTAGGGCACTTTTGGGACATCCTGTATGTAAAGGCTAGTGAGTGCGTGGGGGCCAGTTACATTGCTGGGACCAACACACAGCAATGACCCGGTTTGAGGTGCTTTCATGAATCAAACAGAAAAAGTGACATTTATATTCAATTACTGTCCCAAGTTATTTTGTCATTACAAGAGGAAGTGGGGTACAGGGATGAGACAAGAACGAGAACAGACAGGGATGAGACAAGAGCAAGCACAGTGTATAATGAAAATCGCAGAAGATAAGTTGCTTATTTTTTGCTGAGACTCTTATGCTAAGTGCGGGTTGCTCACTTTCACAGCATCTGCTTTATCGCTTCTCGGAGTCTGAGACTCTATACTAAAGAAGGATGCGATGCCGCAATATAGAGACTGCGTTAAGCTTTATCAAGGGATATCCCATCATACCTACAAATCGAGGGGTATACTAAACAATTACAGGATCGCGCAAAACACAACTTATTTAAGATTTGGCGCAAGCACTCAATGAAGACAACACGGCTCGCACAATGGAGACGCTAACCATGGGATGTCCACCCGCCAGCCACGTGCGTTCATTCTTTTCTTTATTAACCTCCGTCATAACTATGACACTGCAAATTGTAGATTCCTCATCTGGATCTCCTCGATTTTCCTCTCAGCACCGAATCCTCGTTACCTACATCCTTCGACGAAGACTACATGAAAACTGGAAGAAAGACAGTAGCCTTTGACAAACAGTTTCAGTCATGATTTACACCTTGATGCAATCCTACTGTTCAAATCTATCACGAATCTCAACAATGATAGCGCGCTAGATATCAGCTGTACATAAGTATCGCTAGCAACTGAACCACCTTTTACTTAGAAATAAATAACAAAGTCAAACAAACTCTTCTTTTTTTCGAATGTACACTAACGAAAAACCATTACTGCATAAAGATGACGCTATACTCTTTTTGAAAGACTATCGTTTCTTTCAAAGATATCAAAATACCGTTTTGTGGAAACAACTTGAACTCAAATAATCACGTGAAAAAACAACATCGGGTTTGACAGCAAAAAAATACATGTTGGGAATAGGTAGGTTACAAATTGGTGTACATAGAATGTGCAAAAGAACAGTTGTTCCAGAAATACTTTCTTTTTTCCTGACTGAGCTTATACTTCAAGTAACCTTCGTTAATAAGTGCAAATACTGAGGTCAGATTGCGCCAAACAGAATTTGTTGCTTTTTATGCAGTGCATTTCAACTTGGATAATAGAGGTTTGATTGAAAAAGGTTGAGAAGACATACGCGGTAAAAAATAAAGGCCCGTAGTAAAGCTCGGTCATCGGAGATGATCTCTC